CTGCTCAGCAACAACTAAAACATCGGTGTGTCATCAACATTGTTCTCACCCTAAATCCAAACCACAGCACTGCACCAGCTACTAGGAAGAAAATTAACTCTATCCCTGCTGAAACAGGACACAAATTCAAATTATTCTGCTGGATCCAAGCAAAATTCCTTGCATGACAGGAGTTTAACACTATGCATTTTTAGACCACTGTACGGTAAATTCTGCCTTCAAAGACTTCCTTTAGGCTTAAAAGTCCACTCTTGAGTTTTCACAGGAAAGTGTAGGAACGGCCATTCACTTGAAGCAACTGTGGCTGCTTAAATAGATACTGAAGATGTCAAGCAGAGAGAAAACCAGTAGGGAATCTCAAGAAAGTATCCAATAGGGCCTGAGAAGTAGGATTAGACAGAAATGCAAATGTAAGGGCAAAGAAATAACATAAAAGATTAACTGTCGACAAGATAAAACAGAGTCATTACAAATATGCCATCCACAAAGATAACAAGGGTGTCCAGAGGCCTGTTAGCACTTGAACGTTACATGAGAGTCCATATCACACGGGCAATCTGTACAAGTAGCTTTTGAGTTACTACACATAATGGACATGCTGGGCTGTAAATCTAGGAAAAGAATTCCCAAATTAAAGGCATTAATAAAGACAACTCCTGACCTTACGTATATTGGCACTAGAAGACAGACAAAGTCTTCAAAAGATGGCTTACAGGCGGTATTATTGAAAAAATAATCAATGGAAATATGTGGCCTGTGTTTCTAAGGCACTTGTCAACACCATGATTTGAGGCACAGACTGAGGGAGCAGAGCCAGAGCTCTGCTCTCTGATTGTAAGAAATGTCACATATTTGTTTATTGATCTGTTATGGTCAGAGCTGAGACAAACGGTTTTGTAGACAAAAGAAAGACCAGTTTCCAGAATATAAAAACAGTGTGACTTTTTAGTGTTGGTGTTTGGGGGTTTTTTTAGGTAAAACGATTCAATTTGACAACAAAGTTTAAGTTGGAGAAATAATTACTATCAAAAACATATTTTCTAGAGCATTCAAGGAGTCTGCTCTTGAAAACAACACAAAGAATGATGTAACACCTGGAAATACAATTAAAAACAAGTATTATTCTATTTCAGAAGAAAGTGGGCTACAGTGAGGCTGTACAGAAGATGACACAATGCAGAAATTCATGAAGGTTACCACCTGTTGGATAGCGAGGGCATTGCATACCAAGCCCATATGACCAATTGAGATCAGAGTTTTCTGTGTTTAGCAGCATGCGCTTCAGAGGTAACAGCATAGTGATGTCAATGTGTTATGATCTGACGTGCCTCACAGAGTACAGGACACTCACAAGGCTGTTGAAAAATGTGAAAGGTAAGACCATATGTTGATTCATCTGAACGTGTTGTAAGTATCTGACTTGGGTATTAACCTGAAATTGCATTTGGGTTGAATTTAAGATCAGAACATGTTATGGCATACACTAATGCTCTATTTGTTTGGGTATTAAATTACTAACAACCCACCTAAGTCATATCATAATTCAGATTTTTTAAGGTATGTGATGCTGTTCGCATACACAATGGTGTTTCCTGGACCCTGAGGGCTGTGGGGAAATTGCTCTTTGTTCATACGAAGTGCAAAGTCCAAAAGGATGGATTCTTAGAAGAAACAATTGGCAAGGAAAATGTATTTTTCTTGTAAAAGCTGTACTGAACTTCTTGAAAACAAATGGAAAACCAAGGATTCTACAATGCTGAGAGAGGAAAGACAGCACCAGTAACTGCAGCTGAGACCAGACGCCTCTGAGGAGATCCATGAGAGTCTAAAGCTCTGAAAAGACTTACTGAGTATTGCTAAAAAGCATATGAGATTTAGCATGTCCAGTGTTAGCCTTATAACAACTGATTACACGCCAGAGGGACGGGATGCCATCCAGACAGACCTGGACAAGCTCGAGAAGTGGGCCCATGTGAACCTCATGAGGTTCAACAAGGCCAAGTGCAAGGTCCTGCACCAAGGCCAGGGCAACTCTGGGTATCAATACAGGCTGGGGGACGAAGGGATTGAGAGCAGCCCTGCCAAGAAGGACTTAAAGAAGCGTGGCCAGCAGGTCGAGGGAGGTGATTCTGCCCCTCTACTCTGCTCTGGTGAGACCCCAGCTGGAGTACTGCGTCCAGCTCTGGAGCTCGCAGCATAAGAAAGACACGGAGCTGTTGGAGCGGGTCCAGAAGAGGGCCACGAAAATGATCAGGGGGGTGGAACACCTCTCCTGTGAAGAAAGGCTGAGAGAGTTGGGGTTGTTCAGCCTGGAGAAGAGAAGGCTTCGGGGACACCTTATAGCAGCCTTTCAGTACTTAAAGGGGGCTTATAAAAAAGATGGCGGCAGACGTTTTAGCAAGGCCTGTTGCGACAGGACAAAGGGCACTTCTTCCCTTGGGCATGGATCAGGTCCTGCGCTACTCCAGATTTTGCTCAGGTGTTTTTGTTGAAATAGTTCTTACTAATGAAAGTTTCAGGAGCCTCAAATTGCAGAAAGTATGCTGCCAAACCCTTATCATTTTAACAGCTGTACTAAATATTTTGTAACTCCAATTTGTATGGGCTTTAAAAGAGAGCACCATGTTTTGTAGCTGCAGTTCTGAATGGGGAGAGTAACCAGATAATCACCCAAGGAGCATTTGTTTACAATGGGAGGCTTGAGCCATGCAATTCCATGTGCAAATTAAAGGGGGGGGGGGGGGGTGTTGG